TTTATTCAGGTTTTTTTTAAGGTATCTAATATTTTGATACCTAATTTCCATGATCTAAATATTCTTAAAAATTAAAAGTGTTGTCATTTGAAAGTGTCTAGGCCTTCTTGCATTTTTATGCTGTTACATTATGATTATATATTCAGTGGCATAAAATGGTCTTTAAAATGACAATAATATCGCTTATCGCAATTATTTCTGGGGCAATATATCGCACAACAAGTAGTTGTTATCGTGACAGGCCTATTCATCAGTGTCTCGTGTCTCCTCACCACTTTATACTGAGTCCACTGGTGTTTTTTTCTATGGCGTGGTACTCTGTGTGCAGCAGCGGTCTGGCTTTCTCCTTTCCCACGCTCTCTAACCAGCTCTGATAGAGTTCAGCCACTCGCAAGTCCTGCTCTGGCACCGAGGTACGTTCACCGTGGTACAACTCCTCCACCTGCTGCAGCAGCTCTTTGCTCGTTTGATCTGATGAAGGCTTCAGCTGACCTCCGCCATTCAGACTTCCTGTAGAACACAATCCAAAGTGTCAGTGAATCCGATCTGAAACACTATCCGATTACTGTCTGCGATTAATAGGTTATGCAAATTTCGAACAGATATCATTCTAGAGAACAGTATCAGAATATTATACAAATTCAACAATGACAAAACCGTGGCCCAAAGAATTTCACTCTATGGAGCAAAGAGTACAAAATATAACATCAAATTAACTATGAAAACATGTAATTACGTAAAAAAATATGTATATATTTAGGAATATAATAACAAAAATATAAATCTAAAAAAGTGAAATAGTACAATTTTCCTTCAGTGATGCTAAATGCAACGTTTTTTTCTCACATAGTAAAAGTTTTTCTCACACAGAAAGTTTACAAACGTTACAAAAAGAAGGTTTTTAAGCACTAGGGGTGTCATTTCTGACCTGACGGACATGCCATCACTTCTACAAAGTGGTACTGTGACTTTCCGCGTTTCAGCTTCTGCACCAGGTTCTGAATGTTCCTGAAGCCGTAGACGGCAGCGAATCGCAGCAGAACTTGACCGTCCTTCTCTAGAGTGACTTCCTGGAAGTCTTTGTTTCTTTTGGGGGGACAAATCAAAAAAATGTCACTTACAGAGACACTACCATGAGATGTGACCAATAAACTATAGTAGCACCATGGTATTTCTGGAAGTGTTATGGTGAACAAACCCTTAAAAGCAGTCTTTTTAAATAAAACGTGACAGGTGATGCATTATTCCTTACATTAACAGTACTGTGGTAGTACCATGGAGTGATAGAGTGATTTATCAGATGTTAATATCGATGATTATACTGTCGTATAACTTACTTTTAAGAATACCATATTACATGGTTCCTATCATCTCTGACCAATTTCCAGTCATAGAAATAGTTTTTAAGTGATTTTTACATATTTTACACAGAAATTCTTAGTTCAAAATTACTTGCATTTAGAAATCAGTTACATTCTAGTCATTTCTAGCCAAAGAAATACTTTAGAAGAATTTGTAGAGCTATAGAAATTGTATTAGCGTGATCTAAGACTGATTTAAAAATTCCATGAAAAAAAATCATTTTCCTGGTCTGTCTCAAAAACCATGGTAAATATTTCATAACATTTATACATTTCAGACAATCTAAACCTTAAAATGAATATTCATTATTTACAGTAAATATCAATAAATTCTTTACACTAGCATTCAAATGTTTGGAGTCGGTAAGATTTTGAAAAGTATTTTTGAAAGACGTCTCACCAAGGCTGCATGTATTTGATCAAAAATACAGAAAAACAGCAATATTGTGAGATATTACTACAACTTCGAATAAGAGTCGTCTATTTTAATGTGTCAAAACGTAATTTAATCCTGTGATCAAAGCTGAACTTTCAGCATCATTACTTCAGTCTTCAGTGTCACATGATCCTTCAGAAATTATGCTAATATAGTCAAAATAAAACATCTCATTACTATCAATGCTGAAAACCGTTACAAAGATTTTTTCCAGAATTCTTTGATTAATAGATAGTTTAAAGTTTAACGGCATTTTTATTATTTGAAATGGAAATCTTCTGTAACAACATGAGTCTTTTGACCATTTTGATGAATTTAATGCAACCTTGCTAAACAAAGGTTTGAATTTCTTAAAAAGTTTAGGGTCAGTCGATTTTCTTTTTAACAGTGGTGAACAAACAACACAGTTCTGGGATCACTGTAACAACACTGCTGTGTTCAGACGTACTTTATTGTCTTGTAAGTGAGTTCATCCACTTCAACCCCAAACAGCTGTTTGGCAGCATGTTTGTAGATGTGATGAAGGTATCCTCCCGATCCACTTCCTGCGTGACCCAGCAGCTCCTCCCCACATACGTTACTGAACCTAAAACACATTCACACGTATGAGTCTATTTCATAAGTGCTAGCTGGGTTTCACTGCCAAACAGAAGAACTTACATTGTGTCTAAAGGTGCCACTTCCACGTCACTCAAGGACACATTCTCCTCTTCCAACATCTTCAGAACTTCACCTATGAATCAGACACATAGACAATGAGGTCTTATGGCTATAATCTTACCCGTTTTCCTTCAGTTCGTGATTTTAACCCTATTAGATTCACTCACCTGAAGTGATGACGCAGTCCACCTCTCTGGTCTCGTACTCGCTGAGGTAGAAGTCTGGTCTGGAAGCCTCGAGTTTCTTATCATAGCAGGGCATCACTGTCACATGGTAGATCTGATGTGGTGAAACACCCTGTCAAAGCAAAAGATGGAGAATGAAAATCTCATACTAGAACTACCATTCTAATGCACTGATATATCCCATGATTCAAAATGCATTTTGACCTTGATTTGTCACGTAAATGTAGTAAGTGGGGAAAGAAAAAATGTAATTAAACAATAATTAAAGAAATAGAATTTTTTTAATATATAAAAAACAAGCATTTGCATTTAATTTGAAAAATACTTACATATATTTTAATAACAAATATCATTCAAATAATGTATCATAATTCAACTTACTCATTTAATTAAAAAAAAAATTTACCTGAGAAATAGTCTGCTATGTTGTTAATATTAAATCAAACAATTAAAAAAAGAAATAAATTAGCGCTGTCAAACGATTAATCGCGATTAATCGCATCCAAAATAAGTTTTTGTTTACATAATATATGTGTATGTACTGTGTGTATTTATTATGTTTAGATAAATACACACACATACAGTATATATTTTGAAAATATTTACATGTATATACATTTATATATTTATATTCTTATATTTTCTATTATATATCAATATATTTAATATTAATATATATAATTAATATATAAACATAACATATTTTTCTTAAATATATATACATGCATGTGTGTGTATTTATATATACATAATAAATATACACAGTACACACACATATTATGTAAACAAAAACTTTTATTTTGGATGCGATTAATTGCGATTAATCGTTTGACAGCACTAAAATAAATACATTTGCTCTCAATTTATTTCAATGTGCTTGATTATTGGCCGTTTACTGGAATAATTATTTAATTAATAATAACTAATAAAACCTGACTTTAGGGCTTAATCGCATTCAAAATAAAAGTTTGTTTACATACTATATGCGTGTACTGTATATATTTATTATGTATAATAAACACACACACATGTATATATTTAAAAAATATTTGTATGTATTTACTTTTATACTTGTATATAATTAATTATACAATATATACGTGTGTGTGTGTATTTATATAAACATAATAAATATACACAGTACACAC